AGGCTAAAGAAAGTGAATGCAAACACTATAATTCTTTGCCTTCCAAAAACAAATTTATAAGTAACTATTTTAGTAAATGTGGAGGGCCTACTATCTAATTCACTTCAAACAAAACATACATTCTGCCATGTTGTCATAAATGTCTGAATCTAAAATTACAGACAAATTTGAAATAGAAAATAAAAAGTAAAAGCATATAGGGAGAGTGACATCAGAAAGATGGAGAAATAAGTTACCCTATTTCCTTATCCCTCCACAGCAAGAAAATTTGTCAGCCATCCCTGACAAAAATGCCTTTATGAGAATCAGGCCTCATGGCTGGAACCTGTAATGACAGCTACATGGTACATTAAGGTTGGAGAACTGCTTCAGGCCAGGATTTTGAGCCCAGACTGGGTTATGTAGCAAGATTCCATCTCCAAAATGAATACCTTTCACAGAGCTTTGCGATCCAGGGAGGGAGCTGTGAAACTGCTAAAGCTCAAGATTGAGGAGTGTTTCTTTTCAGAAGGCAGACCCTTATTCAGGTAGCACACTACAAGACCCCTGTTCTTGGCTACAGACCAGAAAATGGCTCACCTGATTTGGTCCCACTGAGAATTCTGCTTACTCTGTAATCATCCCAAACATCTCCCAGCCACACTCTGGGAGAGGTCCTATTCTTCCAGAAACCTGGAGGAAGACACTCGTTTATAGCCATGCAGGCAGGCCTGCAGACCTTGGCCTTTATGTGGTCTCTGAAGGAGTTCAATAACTTTGTTCCAGCTCTCTGAGCCACAGTTCATGGCCAGTTCTGCTTACATAGATATTCACACAATGATCCAGAGAAATGCTCCCTGGTACTCAGTGAAAGCCATACTCATCCACATCCCAATATAAGGCCCACCATCTGCAGACCCGACTGCAAAGTCATGGTGGCTCACATCTGTAATCCCAGCACTTTGGGAGGCTGAGGTGGGTAGATCACCTGAGGTCGGGAGTTCAAGACCAACCTGACCAACATGGAGAAACCCTGACTCTAATAAAAACACAAAATTAGCCGGGCATGGTGGTGCACGCCTATAATCCCAGCTACTCAGGAGGCTGAGGCAGGAGAATTGCCTGAACCCAGCAGGCGGAGGTTGCGGTGAGCCGAGATCGCGCCATTGCACTCCAGCCTGGGTAACAAGAGCGAAACTCCATCTCAAAACAACAACAACAACAACAACAAACCTATCCTAGCATCTGCCCTACAGTGCAAAATCCTAAAGGATATTCAGTCTGTCCAAAAATAAAATGGGAATTACAACCCAAGCCTCTGTAACAAGCCAACTAAAGGTGGACCCTAGTGAACGCCCAGCAGCCTTGTGACCAAGCCACAACTCCACTTCACTACAAATTCAGAGGACATCCCATCACCCTGGGACTCAACCAAAGATCTTTATCTCCAGAAACCAGTTTATAAAACTTGAAGAGGTTTGCTTCTTCATATTTACAGACACCAATGCCAAACTATATTGTGCCCATTGTCAATGCTTCTATTTTAACACTGCATTGAAAGCGTATGGTAGAAGTAGAAGAAGAAAAAAAAAAAAAAAAAAAAAAAAAAAAAAAAAAAAAAAAAAAAAAAAAATAAAAAAAAAAAAAAAAAAAAAAAAAAAAAAGTCATTGAAACTGAAGACAGCCAGGTGTGGTGGCTCACGCCTGTAATTCCAGCACTTTGGGAGACCAAGGTGGGTGGATCACGAGGTCAGGAGTTCAAGACCAGTCTGGCCAAGATAGCGAAACCCTGCCTCTACTGAAAACACAAAAATTAGCAGGGAATCCCAGCTATTTGGGAGGCAGAGGCAGGAGAAACGCTTGAACCTGAAAGATGGAGGTTGCAGTAAGCTGAGATCACGCCACTGCACTCCAGCGTGTGGGTGACAGAGCAAGACTTAATCTCAAAAA